GTTTGTGGTTCTCAGGGGAGATGTTTTCCACCTTTTCCACTCATTACCAAGGTTTGAAACAGGCAATTTACCCTGCAGCTTCCACCAGAAGGGTGTTCACTCTTGGAGTCCCAATGTGTATTTCTGTGTGTGTGTCCATGTCCTATTTGATACCCTACTTTGGATGGGACTGGAGTTTCATCACCTGCCCCTGTGATCACAGGACCATGAAAAACAACTAGCTTTCAGTGTCCTGCCTACTACTCTATGTTATTAATTTTGCTTTATTTTTAGCCTCTGTATATTCCTTACCAATTTTCTAACTCACCAATGCGTTTTAAAAGATTTTTTAAAAATATTTCATCCAGCACAAGGTTATTTAGTCACACTGGCAGAAATGGAAGTGCATTTGTGAGTTCTTTAGAGGAAACCCACGAATGCCTGACTTGGGAGATCTGGCTCCAAGGCACCCTCCTCCAACCTCCGCAGCTTCTTCTCAAATCCAGTTAATTCCACAGCCTCTTAGTGTTGTGAGCTGCACCCCCCCAACGGAGGCTGAAGCCCAATTGTTTTCCACTGCATCCACTTACCGCAAACAATGAAAATTCAGGCTGCTCTCCTTACACTCAGCCTGTTCTCTAATTCCCCTTTCCCATGTTTGGCAAGGGGAAGGGGAGTTGGGGTAGTTTAGAACCTCTCCCCTTCTTCTGGGTGGTCTCCATGTCTGAGTGCTTTTCTTTTCACATTCATCTTGGAGTGAGGGTAGAACCTCACATTCCCCACTAGGTGGAGGGCTTGCCATTCTGAAGAATTCTTCCTTTTTTCCCATCCTAGTCTCCTTATATAGCCTGGAAAAGAAGGATAGCATTCAGGCAGTGGTTAATAGAAGCAGGGCAACTTCAGCACCTGGTCCCCCTTTGTAAGGCCTGAGGGTGTCTAGCTCCAAAAGTTTTGTCTTTTTTAAAAATTCCAGTTTTACTGAGAAATAATTGAAATACAGCCCTGTATAAGGTGTAAGCATAATAATTTGACTTACATACACCATGAAATGATTATCACAATAAATTTAGTGGACATCCATCATCTCATACAGATAGAAAATGAAATAGAAAAAAAATTTTTTTTTGTGATGAGGACTCAGAATTTACCCTCTTAACAACTTTCATATATAACATACAGCAGGGTTAATTATATGTATCGTGTTGTACATTACATCCCTAGTACTTATAACTGGAAGTTTATACCTTTTCACTGCTTTCACCCAATTTCCTCTCCCCTCACCCCCACCTCTGGTAACCACAAATCTGATACCTTTTTCCGTAAGTTTGTATGTTTGTTTATTTGCTTTTGAAGTATAATTGACCTACAACACTATGTTTGTTTCCATTACACAACATAGTGATTTTTTGTATACACTTCAAATGGTCACCATGATAGGTCTAGTTACAATACATCACCACAAAGATCTTACTTTGTTATTGACTATATTCCTCACACTGTATATTTTATATCCATGAAATTTATTTTGCAACTGGAAGTTTGTACCTCTTAATCTTCCTCACCTATTTCTCCCTGTTGCACGCCCTACTCCACCTGCTCTATCTTCTGGTAACCACTTGTTTGTTCTCTGTATCTATAACTCTGTTTCTGTTTCATTATGTTTGTTCATTTGTTTTGCTTTTCAGATACTACATATAAGTGAAATCATACAGTATTTGTCTTTCTCTGACTTATTTCACTTAGCATAATACCCTCTAGACCCATCCATGTTGTTGAAAATGCTAAGATTTCATTCTTTTTATGGCTGAGTAATATTCCATTGTGTATATATACCACATATTCTTTATTTATTCATCTGTTGATGGGCACTTGGGTAGCTTCCATATCTTGGCTATTGTAAATAATGTTGCAATGACCATAGGGTACATGTATCTTTTCCAATAAGTATTTTGTTTTCTTTGGATAAATACCCAGGAGTGGAACTGCTGGCTTATGGTAGTTCTATTTTTAATTTTTTGAAGAATCTCCATACTGTTTCCCATGGTGGCTGCACCAATTTACATTCCCATCAACAGTGCATGAGGATTCCCTTTTCTCCACATCCTCACCAGCACTTGTTATTTGTTGTCTTTATAATAGCCATTCTAACAGATGTGAGGTTTTGATTTGCATTTTCCTGATGACTTGTGATGTTGACCATCTTTTCATGTGTCTGTTGGCCATCTGTACGTCCTTGGAAAAATGTCAGTTCAGATCCTGTACCCATTTTTTAATTGGGCTGTCTACTTTGTTGATGTGGAGTTGTATAAGTTCTTTGTATATTTTGGATATCAACCCCTTACCAGAAATATCATTTACAAATATCTTTTCCCATTCAGTATGTAGTCTTTTCATTTTATTGATAGTTCCTTCATTGAGCAAAAGGTTTTTAGTTTGATGTAGTGCCATTTGTTTATTTTTGCTTTTGTTTCCCTTCCCTAGGGAGACATATCAAAAAAAAAAATTACTAAGACTGATGTCAAAGAAAGTACTGCCTATGTTTTCTTCTAGAAGTCTTATGGTTTCAGGTTTTCATTTAAGTCTTTAATCCATTTTGAATTTATTTTTATGCATGGTGTGAGAGTATCCAGTTTGATTCTTTTGCATGGAGCTGTCCAGTATTCCCAACAGTATTTATTAAAGAGGCTGCCTTTTCCCCATTTTATATTCTTGTCTCCTTTTTCATTGATTAATTGCTCATATGAATGTAAGTTCATTTCTGGGCTGTCTCTTCTGTTCTATTGATGTATGTGTCTGTCTTTGTGCCAGTAACATACTATTTTGATGACTATAGCTTGAAATCAGAGAGTGTGAACCTCCAGCTTTGTTCTTCTTTCTCAAGGCTGTTTTAGCTCTTGTGGGTCTTTGGCGTCTCCATACAAATTCTAGAATTATTTTTCCTAGTTCAGTGAAAAAATGCCACTTTATCTCTCTTTGAATGCAGAAGAATTTAATCTCAACTGAGTCCCGGTTACCAGTTCTAGGCCAACAGGAAAAGTTTCTCTTATCCCCTCATAGTAGTAAATGACTCAGAATTGCTGCTTCTAATCCAATGGCTCCCATCACACTTAAAAGTAGAATCCACACTACTTATCACAGTCTCCAAAACTTTGCTCCATCAAACCCCAGGCTACTTATCCTATCTCTACACCACTCACTCTCCCATCCTTCACTCTGCTACAGCTACATTAGGCATCAGTTTCTAAAACACATCAAGTTTGTTTCCTCTTTGGGGCTTTGGCACCCTCAGTTCCTTCAGCCTAGAATTCTTTTCTTCCTCATGTTCCTGCAGTTTCCTCCTTAAGTCTCAGTCTACTGTCCCTTCCTCAGAGAGGCCTCCTTATACCACTGTTCATATTTCAGAATTATGTTTTCTGCTTGTTCCAGACCTTATATTCATGTGGCAGTGGTGGAAAGCATTGTTTTTTAATGTCCATCCTCTCGATAAAGCATGTAACAAAAGAAATACTTATTTGCAGTAATTTTGTACCATGTGACTATGTGATACTCCAAAGTTGAGAAATCAAGTCTAAGTTGAGGAAAATTTTAAACTGATTATTTGTGATATAGAAAACATAACTATATAAATCTAATCCTTTGTGTTGAAATTTTCCATCATTTACTTCCCAAGCACAAATTCCTTAGCAATCGGATACCAAGTAATAGAGTAACATGGTAATGGCAGTTTGCTTTTGAATACTGTTCAGGGGGCCATGGATTTATCAAAGGCGTTTTTTCTTTCTGTAGTATCAACTATTTCATAAAGTATCTTAGTACTTAGATACAAGTAGGGTACAAGTATCACTTACCAAATCTTTGGTAGTGACCCACAGGTGAAGACGGCATAGAAAAGGCAAGGTTGCCCCACTCCCTTCACTGCCTTATTCCTATAGCTAAAGTCAGTACTTGAAATCATCTTATTGATGGGTTTTTTTACTGTCGGCCTCGGGCACAGGAGTGCACGGTTGCTCCCAGAAAGCAGGAGCTTTCCAGCCCTGTCTACCGCTGTATCCCGCCCCTAACAACACGCCCCTGGCACAGAGAAGGCGCTCAGTGATTACTACGGGAATAAGCAGACGAAGGCGTACTC